TCCCAGTGAAGGGATTGTAGCAATCATACTGGTTTTTAATGGTTTGTTAGGAGCTGTGAATTAAGTCTTCATTTTAATATGACTTAATTATAATACAAGAGGGGAATGTTATTTGGAATTCAGCTACATTTATCTTCTTTTTATTTATTTATTTATTGTCTAAAGTTTTACATATGTCTTCTTTTTCCCCGCTTGACCCTCCCTCCCGCCCAGCCGCTCCTGCCCCGAGCAAGCCCCCACTGCCCAGCCCAGTGCCAGCGTCCATCGGTTATGTTAATATGCACGCATACAAGTCCTGTGGTTGCTCTCTAACCCCACCTTCCCTGCCATTTGTCTCTAAATCTATTCTGTTCATCAAATTATGTTGGTCATTATATCCCACATATGAGTGAAATCATGTGACATTTATCTTTCTCCGACTGGCTCATTTCGCTTAGCATAATGCTCACCAGTTCCATCCATGCTTCTTAATAAAATTCTACTTTAACGGCAAGTAAAATAGAAGCTATAGAGCATTATGTAAATGGAAAAAATACACTGAGAGGAAAGTAAGGGTAAGTTGTTGACTAAATCAGCATCAAGAGGTTAAAAAAATCTCTATATTGATAGGCAAAACCCATGAAGAAATATATAGAATTATTTTCTAAATTTTCCTTTCTTTTGATATTGTGTGAATTGACCATGAAGCTGTGATGTATCCAATATAAATTATGTGGTGAAGATCATGTAAGACCAGAAATTAAGATTTCTCAGATTCAAATTCTAGCTCTAATATTAACTTGCTTGTTATTATTTTGCAAGTCATCTATTCGATCTGAGTTCCTAAGACCGTTAGCTGACTTAATTCCATAGAATTCAGGACCTAGTTTCCATGTATTCTGTTTGATATGACTTTTACAGAAAAGGCAGAGCACTGTAGCTCAGCATTTCTCCTGGAAAAAATCTTGATAGACTACAACCAGACAGTGTCTTTCCTCCAGTAAAGTATTCTGCACCCTTCAGATTTCTGGTCTACTCATCAGACAGTTTACTGAAACTCTCCAACTCATTTATAATTTTTCTAGAAAAAAAATGTAGGTCTAATATTTAACTGCTTCAACTGAGTTTGGTTGATTTAAAAAGGTGAATTCACTGTTTAAATAGTAATTAAGTTAACTAGTAAAAATAGTATTAGATTTTCAATGTCTTTTTACAGTTATTATAGGAGCTATAAATTTTGTTAAAATATATGAAGTTTTTGCCACATGGAGCAAAAGAGAAAATCCAACATTTAATATTGCTATTGAGTTTAACCATATCGCTAGTTCCTGAGGATAGAAAAATTCATAGGGCAATTAAATAGCAGTTTTCATTCAAAATGGTTTGTTATTATACTAGCATAGTAATGAAAATTACAGATCGAAATGAAAAGGAGATAGGAACATTTGGAGGACTTAAGAATCTCAGCAACAGGAACATTTCTCCTAAATGTCCAATTTAGAATATAATAAAGCAGTCTTTTGATATTTTTATCATTTTCGTCAAACTGAAAAAGAACAATTTGAACCAGTCTAGTAGATTACTTCATTCATTCACTCAACACCTGTTGACCATGCACTTTGTACTGTCAGTCTGCTAGAAATAAGGAATATAAAGATTAATATGTTCAACATCTAGCAGAAGATGAAGAAAATAAATAAGACCAGCTAGGTGGAGGTGAATCACACAGGATGCAAAATAATAAATTTAGTTTATTAAATCAGGATGAATAATGACATGAGAGAAGCTAAAATTAATGTGGCTCAGAAACTGAAATAAGTATTGATTAATAGTCATCAGAATTTCTGAAGAAGGAATATACAACAAGTTGGAAAGCCATGGCAAAGTCTGCTTTAGTTAGTGAAATAAAATGAAAAATATGAGAAATATAGATCAGAACTTTGCAAGATTGTATAATTCCATAATAAAACAGTGACTGAAATTTATCTCAAATGTATTTGTCATAAAGCATAACCTTGGATATGATAACAGGGAAAACTTATGGAGCATAGAGACAGCACGGCCGGAAGATGCAATAGTGAAACAGGAAGATCAGCTTCACGGTTATGTTGCAATTCTCCACAGATGTGTGCAGTGATGCATAACCTGCAGGAAGGTGTGCTTATGAGATGTTCTTTCTTGATTTTGTTGTTCAGCCAAAACACTGTACAAATTGTTTTAGAGAATTACTGTTTACATCCAACCTTAATCAGCTAGCAAGTAGTTTTATGATATACAGTTGGTCCTTGGGTTACATCGGACTCAACGTATGTCGTTTCGTGGTTATGTCACCATCTCCCATTTATTAAAAAAAAAAATTCTGTCATTTCGATGTATGTTCATATGCGCTTTATGTTTTTTTATTATTTATTTACCACAAGTAAAGGTCAGGAATTATCTTTTTTAAATTTTATTTTTTACTGTTTCACTTCATTACTGCTGTGTATGTGCTCCATGTGAGTGACCTAGGTGCTTATGTAGGTGGGTTCCGACTTATGTAGGAACAGGTCTGGTCTCCGACGTAACCCGAAGACTGCCTTAGTAAGTCAATGAACAGACTATACTAGTAATGCTGTAGGTGGGAAATGCCAGAGAGCACTACATTTTGGTTATTGTTGTGAAAATGTTATCTGTCAAGGTGCATAGAACAGCTAAATTTTTATTTTCCCTCTACCTCACTGGCCACTCCTCCTCAGTGTTTTGTGTTAAATCCTCTTGATTCCTCAACCTATAAATGTTGCAGGGCCCACATACTCAGAGTGCGCGCGCTCTCTCTAATGTCTCTCTCTCTCTCTCTCTCTCTCTGTCTCTCTCTTTCTCTCTCTCTCTCTCTCTCTCTCTCTCTCTCTCTCTCTCTCCTTTTTTCCCCATTCCTGCCTCATTCCCTTACCCCTTCACCTCCTCCACTTTCTCTACCCCATCCCCCATTCATGCTGATCTTATCTAGTCCCATTACTTAAACCATGAATATGTGAGTTCCTCCCAAAATTTATCTCTCCCTGAAACCATTCATTGCCTCCATTGGTTGTGTAATAAGCATTTCAAACTAACTATGTCAAAATTAAGAATATATACCCAGGCCCACAACTCTCTTTCTCATTTAGTTTCTTCAATGTCACTACATCATCTAACCAGTTTCTTGGGCCAACTCTTGGTATCATTCTTGCTTCCTCCCTTTTACTCACCCCTCATGTCTAATCCTTCAGAAATTTTTGTCAAACCTGCCTCTAGAAGGCATCCTGAATCCCTTTTTTTTTTTTTTTTTTTAGGGGGAGCGGGCGACTTGACTTGACTGCACCTGCTTTAGCTAGCCTCATCGTTTCATTAGACTGCGCTTACACAAATTCCTGACCAGATGCTGCTTCCTCCCTTGCCCCGCTGTAGTCCATTTTACTCAGAGCAGCAAAAGTAGAATTTTTTGAAATATAAAAGGACCAGCGTCATCACACATGAAAAACTTTTATGACTCCTCATTGCCCCTAGAGCTCCTTCAGTCTCCTTACCTTGGCTAGCTACCTTCTGATCAATCCGCTGTAGACTCTTCTAACCCCAGAATTTATCTCCTATCAGTCTTGGGCCCTGCGTCGCACTCTACTTCTGGGCTTTGCACTTAGTATGCACAGGGCTGGATCCTTCTATTATTAAGTTTCAGTTCATACGCTACCTTTTTGGAAGTGCTTTTGCTCATACCTAGTCTGAGATTTAGTTGTCCATGTGTGTCTGTCTCACTCCCCCTCACACACTTCATCTCTTGGCATACCACTATCTCTCGGGGAATTACCTATATATAGTTTTCTTCAGGGTGCTTACCACTCTGTGATACCTTGTTTATGTGTTTGTTTTCTTACTTCTTGAATGTGTTTCCTCCATGTCAAATACAAGTTCCTTAAGGGTATGGGCCTCATCTCTCCTTTTCAATACCATGCCCTCAACATCTAGAAAAGTAACAGCACAGTAAGTATCTATAGAGTGAAGGCAAAAGACTCCAGATCAATTTGTCCTTCTTTTTCCATCTTCAGATACTCTAAGGAGGTTACCAAAGGATAAAGAAGCTATAGAGATCAGAAGAAAGGTCTTACTCATTGCGTTGATATTGTTTTCTGAGAACAGAGCGTGAAAAGTGTACATTTTTTACAAGTCGAAGTTCCATATGTTAGCAACTGTTTGCAGGCTTTAAATCTAGTGCCTTTTTGCATTGTTTCCTTTTTTGCTCTTTACAAGGCTATATGTCAAAATAGAATTTGATTTGCAGAACCTTAATGCTAGCACTTCGAAAAGTATGCAGCAGGGAGAAAACCATACAAAAATGTGCACTGCTCACTTACAAACACAACACATTTTATATCTCGGGATTAGGGATTAATGTATGAATAATTCTTCCATGGAAAAATGAAGGGTAATATGAAATAGTGCTTTGACTGCATATATATTTTATTATTTTCAGCTGTTTACAGAATATACCACCATTTGAAAATGTGCTGTCACTGGGATTGTTTTAGGATAAAGAAGAAGAAAAAAGTTCCAATCATCACACTTCTTAGTAAAGAGAAAAACAGACATATATTATTTGACAGGTTTTATAAGTGCAAAAGTATCAAGAGTTAACATAAACAAACTATGGTGAATAAATCATATCTACCATTCCTAGATTTTTCTTGGTAGTTTTAATAATTATCTACTTCCTAGTTTATTCCTGAGGGTTCTGCATGTGTGTGTGATATGATTGCTGGCACATGCTGGGCAGTGGTGTGATTATTGGAATATGGATTCTGGATTTAGAATGCCTGCATTTGAAGCTTAGCTTTAAACCCCTTATTAAGTGTGTACCCTGTGCACATTACTCTTCTTTTGCAAAATGACAATTAGTAAATACTTGCCTTTAGGGGTTATTTTGAGCATTGAATGAGATAATCCATGTAGAATTCTTAATGTCTGGAGCAAAATGCCTAGTAATGTTAGTGAACATTATAAACAATGCTTTATGGGAGTGGAGAAGTAAACCTTCAGGTAATAAATAACTCGTACTCGCAATGGCAGGGCCGGGGGGGCTGGGGCCAATGACCCTGGTCACAGGCTTTGGGAACTCTTTGAGAATGGTTAGGAGTTTGAGGGGGATAGGGGGTAGCCAAGACAAAGGAAGCAGCAGCAGGTATGGATTCCCCCCTCCCCCGTGGCTCAGTCTTGCCCCTCAGCCAGGCCCAACCAGGCCAGGGAAGGGGAACAGGTGTCAGGACAGCTTCTCTGGGGCCAGGTGAGGGACTTGGCCTCCCAGGGCCTAGGTCTGGACCTCAGTCAGAAGGACAGGGCTGGTCCTAGAGAACAGGTGAGCTGGCTCCGCAAGTCTCAGCAGCCACAGGGCTGTGGGGCCGGGGCCATAGCCTGGGCACTCCGAGGCTGCCGCAGCTGGTGAAAGGAAGCATCACCGAACTGAATGCCTGAGCCCATCCTCTCTGGGTCCAGCTCACCTGAGTCGATCTTGTTCAGGATGGTGCGGGCACACTTCAGGAAAGCCTCCTCCACGTTCTCCCCTGTGAGAGCACTGGTTTCCAAGAACATTAGTTCGTTCTCCTGGACAAAGTGGGAGGCCGCCAGGAAAGTAACCTCACACTCCAGGTCCAGGTCCTTCTTGTTGCCCCAGAGGATGACCACGATATTGGGGCTAGCCAGTGTGCGGGCGTCTGTCAGCCAAGCAGCCAGCGAGTTATAAGTCTCCCGGCTGGTGATGTCGTATACCAGCAGGGCTCCAGCTGCCCCTCGGTAATAACTCTGTGTCACAGATTGAAACCGCTCCTGGCCAGCTGTATTTTAATATTAATACTTTAATATTATCTTTACACTTACCCATGTCATTATACTTTATTAACTGTCCTCTTTCCCATGCCAGGCCTGGGAGATTGTATTAAAAGTAGGTTTCATCGGAAGATTAAGACATAACTGCATTAATTTGTTAAGGATTAGTTAGACCTCTAGAGCAGTGTTTTCTATACAGGTAAATAGTTGTTATATAGGGGAAAAGCCAATTCTGATTCTGCTGGGTGTATTTCTTCTCCAACAGAAACATTGTTTTAATATTTTGAGAAAAACTACATAAAAATTTAGTCAGATGACTACACATCAGGACTTTTCAGAGCCTTTAAAACATTAATGTAGAACTACATTTAATTTATCTGTAGGTTTTAAATCTTAAAAGTGTATACCTAAATGTTTTTGTAATTCAAAGGTTTCAAAATGTTAATATGCACCATGGTCTTTCAGGAAGAACATGAATTGTGCAACACTTTTCACACCTGGGATTTTTATTCTCCACAGAGGGTCTACATTCTCAGTTCACAGGTACTGAAAGAATGATGGTTAAGGAAGAGAATGTTCTTATGGACAGGTAGGGATTCTTTCTTATGGTCATATTAGGACATATGAAGAACCTTATCATAAACTTAAAAAGCTTGCCTTGTTTAATATTAAATTCATAAAAATTGGATAAGGACATTTAAGATGAAAATGAAAGTAGGGTATAATTCTACCTCATTTCACTCATTTTGAACGAAGCTTATTCTTGTGGTTTAAGGTTAATCAAGTAGTACAATTAAAGAAAATTAATCTGTATGCAGAACAAAACTGATCACGCTTCTACTTTTCTTGCCTGGGAATATGTTCTACTTCTATTAGATGTTCCTTCTAGTAAAAGAGGCTGCAAAGCATAAAGGAGCAAACTAAACACTGGAGCCAGGCTGCCTGGTTTGGAAATCTGCTCTGTACTACTAGCTGTGTGACACTGGCCAAATTACTCAACCTCTCTGTGCCTCAGTTATCTCATCTGAAATTGGAGGTAATAAATAAATACTAGTTGATAGGATTGTTATGAAGATTAAATGAGTTGCTACTTTTGGATAAGAACTATTCCTGGCACATAATATACAGTGTATATTTGGTAAATAAGTAAATTAAGCTTGAGAAGCTATTTCATTGCCTTCTCTGTTTATTTGCTATTACTTTTCTCCTGTCATGTGGCTAGTCTCAGGTTCAGAGGACGCAATAACAAAAAGAATGAGTGTTCATTGGTTGATAGAAACCTAATTCTGCTACTTGTCTCTGGATGCAGTGATGCTCCATCTTGAAACAAAGGCTTACTAAAGATTATTTCTCAGCCAGTGACTGTGGGATAAATGACCAGACAAGAAAATCGGTATCTCTGCCCTCTATATAAAGCCATTTGGTGTTTGTGCTTATTGTGTATTGTATTAAGAAGAGTAAGAGATAAATCTCTTAGTGGGAAAATACTCAGAAATCTTCTAAACTCTCTATTTCAACAGCACCACTAATCTCTTAAAAATTATTTCCACGTGATTTGATGTACTGTTGTAATTATAATAGTTAACATCTAATGAACACTGGGATATGTGGTTTGCATCATGTAACCCTCACTCAAAGTGCATAAAGGATTGTCATTACCCCCAATCTATAGTGAAGAAAACCAAGGGAATTAGTGACTTGCCTAACTTAGAATTGGTTCTGGTTACTGGTAAACTGGTTTACAAACCCAAGGAACCCAACTCTAGCATCTGTGCTCTTAACAATTCTACTTCCTGCCTCTCTTCACCAAGATATCTTAGAATAATAATAAGGGAGCACCTGGAAAATCTAAAGTTATGGCTTGTGTATCTCAGTACCAATGTCCCCAAGCCTAAACACTGAAGACATAAATATACATATACACATACTTATACACATACATATAATACATATGCATAATGCTACTGTAGACATTCTAATTTATAATGAAGTATATACACATACTACTTTCATAATAGTCAGAAAATAGAAACAATCCAAATATCCATCAGATAATAATTAGATAAACACAATGTGAAATATCTATGTAATAGAATATTATTCAGCAATAACAAGTAACCAACTACTGACACATACTACAACATGCATGAACCTCAAACATATTATGCTAAGTAGAAAAAGCCACATATAAAAGACCATAGGATGTATCATTCCACTTATATGAAATGTCCTTTAAAAGCAAATATACAGATTTAAAAAGTGGATTACTGGTGACCTGGAACTAGGGGTTGTAATAGGGATTGACTGCAAATGAGCATGAAAGGTATTTTTTTTGTGGTGATGGAAATGTCCCAAACCTGGATTTTGGCAACAGTTGCACAAATCTGTAAATTTACTAAAAATCATTTACTTAAACAGAATTGGGCACTTAAATGGGCAAATTTCATCATATGCAAATTTACCTCAATAAATCTGTTAAAAAGCAAACAAACTGGATCATGGTCCAGAGATTTAGTATCCTGGACCATCGTTTAGTGATAAAGATAAAGCAGGCTGAAAATCAAATTCAAAAGTGTATAATCCATATTAAATTTTTCTGCCCTCTCTTCATAATTGGAATAAAAGATAAAAAGTCACTTTTATACCTAGCATGAAAAATAAATTGGCAATAAAATAGGCAGTTTTTATTTATTTAAAATTTTGTACTGATATAATTTCACCTTGATATGATAAGCTGAACATCTGACTTTGGAAAGGCATTTATTTTCTGTGCTTCATTTAAAGTTTGTCTCTAAATGAAGATGTTTAAATGGAAGTTGTATCATGGTATTAGACTTATATATAGAAGAATATCTGCAAAGTGTAGCAGAAACTCACTAAATGTACCCTGGATATGTAATTAATATACCCCTTTATAATCAACTAGAGGCCCGGTGCATGAAATTTGTGCATGGGTGTGTGTGTGGGGGCTCCCCTCAGCCCAGCCTGCACCCTCTCCATTCCACAACACCTTGGGGGATGTCCGACTGCCAGTTTAGGCCCGATCCCACATCCCTCTCACAATGCGGGACCACTGGCTCCTAACTGCTCACCTGCCTGCCTGATCACCCCTAAGTGCCCCCCTTGCCAACCTGGTCACCCCCAACTGCCCTCCCTGCTTGCCTAGTCACCCCCAGCAGCCACCCCCGCCCCCTGCCAGCTTGGTCGCCCCTAAGTGCCCCCCCTTGCTGGCCTGGTCACCCCAAGCAGCCTATTCGGTCATCCATTCGGTTGTTTCGGTTGTGGCAATCTCTTAGGCTTTTATATATATAGATAACCCAACTTCATTATGTTCTGTCCTTTAATTTTTCCTTATTTCTACTTTGGGTGATATGTAGGGAATTCATTTATCACTTCCCCCATTTCACAGATAAGGTAACAAAGGCATACAAAGATTAAGCCAAAATCATGTAGCTTTTAAGTGGCTGAGGTGAGCTTACTACTTCTCAGTTTTCCTGAATACTAGTCATAGATAACCCATAAACCATTCTAATACTCTGTACTCATTGAAATAATAGATAATTAATAAGTGCTGACTGATTAAGTCTGTAGAGGCTTGATAGATATCATAGCGTGGTTCATAAGCAGTCGTATTATTAACTTAAGATTCTCTTAACATCATATACTAAGTTTGAACTGTATGCAGTACGGGTTTAAAATGTGACTTGGTGCTGATGCACTGTAATAGTAGTCTTTGTTGTGCATTATCAAGCCTCTTACATTGGATAGATGGAGAAAATTATGATTCCATATACACCGTACCTATTTAAAAATAATGTTCCTGAATGCATCATTTTTCATTTCTGGCCTCCCAGCTTTGTAAAAAAAAAAATTAGGGGAGTATAATAGGCTATTTAACTGTTTGCTGGCTTGCCATACAGAGACACACGGCTGCTTTCACAAAAGAGGGAATTGGCTCCGATGTACCTCCAAGTTATTCTTCAGGAATATTCTGAATGGCACATTTCCTGATGCCTCGAAGCCTTAGATCTCAGTCCATTTCTTATGGACTCAACAACTTACTGTTAACGCCAGATTTGTCAAAAGCTCACAAACCCATTCCCTCCCTTTTTTAGTACCTTTCTTAAATAAAAGAACCACTTGTGTGTTTTCCTGTGTGTTTTGTTTGAAACAATGTCTCTTGACCTATTCTTAGTACAGTTACATTGCTTTCTGTTGTCCTGGTTCAGCTGTGTATAGTTCTTCTTTTAACAGCAACATGGATCCTATAATCATTTCTTCAACTGTTCTGTTATCCTGTGAGTTTATGTTCTTTATTCATGAAGATGGATTGTTCCCTGGAAGGCTGAGCATCAAGCCTGGAAGTGTTGCTTTTTATGTGCAGTCGTCCTGTTTTCACTTCACGGTGTGTTTTCTTTTTTCCATTCAGAAACGATGCGCTGACAGCAAGGGGACAAAGATGGGTATCTTTTTCAGAAAGCAGTGTGCATGGGAACTATGTAAACATTTTTCTGGTTACATTTATTTTGTTTCTAAGACAGTCGTTTTTTTGGATATAAGTGAGACTGAGTGGGGTAGACTTAATGTAAAGCACATGTATTGGCCAGTTTGCAGACACTTGTTAGAGCTCTCCACACATATGTTGCATAATGGATTCTGTTTCTGTTACGTGTTTTTGGCAGAGCCCACCACTGCGCTTTTTAAAGTCTAGGAAACATGTAAGTTTATTGGAACTCTTTTTCCCCCTAGGCTGTAAAGGGGAGAGGATTTAAAATGTGGGCAAGAGAGATTAGATTTCTCTAGGATAAAGCAGATTTTATCTTTTCTTGTATGAAATTTCATCTCTGTCTTTCCCATCCAACAGTAAGCATCTTAAAGTCAAGAACCTCTGATTTTCATTGTTGAATTCCCTCAACTCGTTTGAAATACATGCTTTTTTTTCTTCTGTTTTTTTTACAGAGACTACATTCAATTTTTAACATGCATGCTTGCTTGCTGCAAGTGCATATATCTAAAATGCAAATTTTACAGGCATAAAAGTATTTCTAGATGTCT